ATTACTTTGAGGTTGCAGACTATTCAGGTTGAATTAGAGGAATTACTGATATCTGAGCATTTTTAACCCATAAAAATAGCAAAGTTATATGATTCAATTTAATATAACTTGACATATAGCTCCTTCAGATTTCTTATCCTTTTAACGGGTTTTGCAAAGTGCTACTTAATGGGATTTATATGGACTGTAGACAGATACTCTTTATTTCACAAAGTGTTTACTTGCATTTGAATTTAGTTACCCACATTTAAAAATTGAGCAAATACTCTAAGAACTTTGGGAAACCCAGGATACCAAGTCACAGTGGGACCATGTCCCTCCTAGCAGCTGGTCCCTCTAAATGAAACACACTCTCCAGATTGTCCCCATTGCCTATGTTGGCACACTTTGTTCATTTTTAATAGCTTCCTGGCCTTATGTTTACCTGTCTGTGTAACTACTGTAACTTACAGTTTCTACTTTAACTTACTATTTTGGCTAGTTTCATGTATCATCAAACAGTTGGGCACACACAGAGAGATAATGAATTCTCTGGGTCAAGATTCCAAGTCCGGAAATGTAGGTCCTCCAGGGCTCAGCAGAAGTCTTTACAGGTGAGTCTGACACAATACAGACGTTCCTTAATATTTGCAGACGAGTCAAAAGAAGAGCTCCAAGATACAAAATAAATCGGTAACAACATTATTAATAGAATAATGTACTGATAGCTCCCAAAAGCATTTGCTATCACCTGAATGAAATTAAATTGCAATCCTTGGAAGTGTTACGTAGATGAAAATGTCATAATTCCTGTATTTTAGAAGAACATCGAAAGAGGAATATCAAGTCTTTATTCATACGAATGCTTAAAACTTTTCTGGGCCAACATGGCTTTCTCCCAATTTTTCTCCCATCCAAGTACTAACCAGGCCCAATCCTGCTTAGCTTCTGAGATCAGCCGAGATTGAGAGTGTTCACGGTAGTATGGCCATATTTGCTAACCAATTTTTCTTTTTAAATTTCAAGATTTTATTTCTTATCTTGCTGCAGCTGAAAAAACTGTCTAATGGCTTTCTAGTCCACTGAACTACCTCTAATATTTAGAGACGATTTTAGGTTGCTTTATTGATAAGAAACTTATCTTAAGTCTCTTATCTGCAGAGAAGATAAATAGAAATTGTTCTCAAGGCACGTTTTGTTGCTTAATGTTCATGATGGTCTCTATAATTACTCTCAAATATTATTACTTTTAATCATGTCAGTTTATATGAATTAGAAAGTACAACACAATTGTATCTCCATGGTCTCAAAGTTAGGGCAAATTAACATTTGGAACTACTTTTTAAGTATTCTGATAGTTGAATTGACAGTCAATAAATAATGCTAACCAAATCATTATATTTTGGCTATAACCACTAAATGAAACAATCATTTCAAGAATTAAAAAAGATAGATCCACAGTTTCTCAGGGCTGCAGAGAAAAATCTACAGAAGTCTTATGCATTTCTACGTGTTCTAATCATCCTAATTTTCTAATTTGAGACTCAGGTATTAGGCTGTGACGGAGGGCTCATTAGAGAGCATGTTATTATGGCTGATTAATACTGGAAGACTCTGACAGTAGAGCTTCATAGTCCTTAAGGATTATCTAAGCCCAGTTCCTTCATTTCACACATGTAGAAAACAACATATGGAAAGTCAGGGAATTGTCCAATAACAGAGTTAATGGTAGGACTCAGACTATAACACCAACACACATACACACACAGTCACACTCACATACATCCTCTGCCCACCTCCCCAAACACCCACATCGAGATATTTCTGCATGTATTACTTTTTAATGTTCTCTAAATTAATTTCTCCAGATCATTATGTTGTCATTTTAATGACTGTTTAGATAGCTGCTCTCATCTACTGAGGTTTCACTTGATAACCTCACAGAGGAAACTTCTATTCTGTCCTTACATAGCTGTCTCATGTATAAACATCCATATATACCACATCTATATATTTCAATTAGTCATGGGCCTTTATTTAATCAATAAAAGACAAAGCCAACATTCCTCTTAACCTCAGTAAATACAAAAGACAAAGAAGCCATCATTTTAACTGTATTAATCAATCAATCTTTTACTCAAGTACTCAGAAATTATTAAATAGGTTTCTTGATTAAACAGACTGATGCTAAGATTGTGGCTATACTTTTCTCACATTACTGTGGAGTATAATCCAGTCCCCAAGGGTTGCACATCACAAAAGGTCCCAAGGCTGTGGCAACAGCAGGCTCTTAAATTAGGCCTACTATGGACCGGATGCCCAGGCAGACCAAGCAGCCACTGAAACAGGACACCTTACTGGAAGAACTGAAGCTGTTCTGGGCTATTAGAGTAACTGCCTATCAATATCCTTCTCCCTCCCTCTATCCATTGGCCCATCCAATTTGTAATCCATGCAGCAGTTAAAGTGATTTGGGCAAATCTGATCACCTCTCCTCTGCTTAGGGTCTGGTGATGACTTTCTCTTGGTCCGAGTATGATGATAAAGCTCCTTAGTTCTCCAAGGTTCTGTACTAACAGGCAACTCCAGACACAACTGTCCTCATCTCCTCTGACTGTTCACTCCTGTTTCAGCCACCTAGCTCCCTTCATCAGCTCTTTCCCACCTTGCTGCCTCTGGCCACTGATCTTTACACGATGCCATTCCCTCTTCCTGGAGTACCCATTGTCATCTTGTTAACTACATATCATCATTTAAAGTGTCAGCTCTTCAGCGGAGCCTTCCCTCCCCTCCTTCTTTAGAAATTCAATTAAATCTACAATGTGATTCTGTATACTCAACAGAATGGTTAAAGTGAAAAGACTGAACGTGTCAAGGGCCAGTAAGCATGTAGAGGAACTGAAAAGCTCTTGCATTGCCAGTAAAAATGCAAAATGGTACAGCTGCTTTGGAATAGTTTGACAAGAATTTTTAAAATTAGAAAAAGTTTAAAAATTAGAGGCCGGGCTAAGTGGCTCACACCTGTAATCCTAGCACTTTGGGAGGCCAAGGCAGGCAGATCGCATGGTCAGGAGTTCAAGACCAGTGTGCCCAACATGGCAAAATCCCGTCTCCATTAAAAAATCAAAAAATTATCTTGGCGTTGTGGTGCATGCCTATAATCCCAGCTACTTGGGAGACTGAGGCAGGAGAATCGCTAGAACCTGGGAGGCAGAGGTTGCGGTAAGCCGAGATTGCACCACTGCACTCCACCCTGGGCAACAAGAGCGTAACTTTGTCTCAAAAAAAAAAAAAAAAAAGAAAAGAAAAATTAAAAAAATTAGAAACTACTTCCATTGCCAATTAATGGCATAGGTGATAACATATACATATAGAATGGAATACTTTATGACTTATAAACAAAAACATGAATGTGTCTTATAAAGGTAATGCTGAACACAGAAAGTCAACACACACACACAAAACACAAGCTATGTGATTCATTTTATAGAAAGTTTACAAATGGAAAAAATAATTCATGGCTTTAGAAGTCCAGATATTGGTTACCCTTGGGGTGGGTAATGACAAGGGTGGCCAAGGGAGGCTTCTGAGATGCTGGTCATTGTCTGTTTGTGAAAATATATAGAGTTGTACATTTACGATTTGGTTACTTTTCTACCTGTATATTTTACTTGGATTAATCAAAATTCAAAGGCCTCTACTTAGCTTCTGGCAATAATAAAAACTTATTCTTTGTTGCTCTTATCTCTCTCAGGATTTTACTATCAACTTGTGTCATCACTTGATCAGTGCCTCTGTTGCCCTCTAGAGTCTAGACTGCAAGCTCCACATAATTGGGAAATTGTTTTTAATAATCACTACTACTGGGTGCCTAACTCAGTATTTACCAAATATTTGATAAATTAAAATGAATAAATATAATCTGCCTCAGTTATTCCGAGCACAAACCTGGGAAGCAAAGGACCTATGTGTTAGAACCCATTTTGTAAGACCAGTCCATATTCGGCTGACAGAGATAGCGACTTGTGTCTTTCTGGTTAACCATTGTTTCTTTGGCACTCAGTACAACATTTGAACATTATAGGGCCTCAATTCTTAAAAAAATTTTGTTGAACAAATGGAAAACTGAATGTAAACCTAAATGGATTAGGTATTTTTTTTTCTAGTGAACAATAGTCTCCAGTGAATGAAAACACCAAGATGAATTGTTTATTTTTCCTATCCTGGCCGCAATAAATTAGGTACATAAGCCCATTACTAAGTCTTCAAACCATTGCCCTGACACACTCTACCTCTGCTTCTCTTTACTTATCACTTCCTGGTCCCAGATCCCATTAGCATGAGATGTTGTTCTGGTGAATTTACAGCTTTTGAGGTGATCCTTAGCTCATTTAGAAGTAGATATCTTAGGGTATTTTTGATCTGACTAAATAAATAGGCAATAAATTGACTTGCAAGTGACAAGACTACAAAGAACTCAGTCTTCTGCTTTCTCAGTCAGGTAATGTCAGAAAAAATTCTTGACTGACATAAATATAGAAACTTCTAGGGATAGAGATTGAATGCTTACATACATATTTAAGATAATTAATTTCCCACTTTAGGATGTAAAATTAAATTGCATTAGTAAAATATTACCTTCAGAAGTCCTGCTCCTTCCCGTTTCAAACGGGAATAGTGTTGAAATCCTTCACATATATCTTTTACAACAGTGTTCACCATCAAGAGAACCATATTTTCATAATCTAAGACTCTTTCAGGATACATCATTTTACTTTCATTAGAGATGCTGCACTTTTTGAATCCAAGTAAAATGATTCCACTAGGAAAATCTAAAATATTATTTATTTTTTTGAGACGGGGTCTCGCTTTGTCACATGGCTGTAGTGCAGTGACGAGATCTCGGCTCACTGCAACCTCTGACTTCCTGGTTCAAGCTATTCTCCTGCCTCGGTCTCCTGAGTAGCTCAGATTACAGGAACATGCCAGTGTATCCATCTAATTTTTGTAGAAACATCTAAAATATTTTAAATGTGAGCCTCAAGCATTCATTTATAAAACATCAGGATATGTGACTTGTTTATTCATCCTGTATGTGTTTATGGGTGATCTCCACAACATAAGCACTGCTCTATTGCTTTTGAAGGTCACAAAGCCTGTACCTAATGACATCAAACACCCTATTACATTTCTTTGCCTTTTTCAAAAGAAAACTCTTTTCATGTGACCTCCATAGGTATTCAAAACCAGGATCAAAGAAGGATATATTAAACGAAACTGTTTTCTCCAAACAGGATTCTTGGTTATTCAAAATAAAGTGACTATAAGAGTGTGCGGTATGTGAAGATGCTTTATAGAGGTGCATCTGTAGTCACAGCTGCTACTTTGCAGGCTGAGACAGGGGGATCACTTGATCCCAGGAGCTCTGGGCTATAGTACTCTTTGCTAATTGGATGCCCACACTAAGTTTGCTATTAATATGGTGACCTCTCAAGAGCAGAGGACCGCCAGGTTGCCTAATGAGGGGTGAACTGGTGCAGGTCAGAAACAGAGCCCGCCAAAACTCATGTGCTGATCAGTAGCAGGATCGTGCCTGTGAACAGCCACTGCCCTCCAGCCTGAGCAACCCAGTGAGAACCCATCTCTCTCAAATAAAAAGAAAAAAATAAAAATAAAGAACTTGAGTATACATCTGTACCTTTTATTCTGAGGGCTTGTTTTGGGTAAAATCCCCAACTTCTATTTACTCATGTAAGAAAGGTCACATTATCTGTGGAAGCTGGAAGAGGTCACCAGTGAGATAAACGCACAAGAATGACATGATCTGTTTCCCCGGGGTTAAGAGTATGCAAGTTGGGCTGAGAGCTGGGAGTCTCTAATCTCCTGAGTTCTGCCTGCTGCTTGTGAAACAAGTGCCGCCACGGAAGACCTCACCAAACTCAGAGCCAGATAAAGCTTAAATCATCCAGCATTGGTCAGCCTAAGCTGAATAACATGCTTTCCAAAATATGCTGCCCTCCTTGGGTACCCTGTTGGTTATCTTCCTAAGCAGCAAAGTAATAACCATGTTATGCCTCAGCCTTCTCCACCCTCCCACTGCAGCAAAAGAGAATGAAAATGAACGCCCTACCTGTCTGTCTTTTGAAAGAGTTACAAGGTTTGGTTATTGTCTATGCTTCTCTCTGAGGCACAGATAAAAAGCCCTGATATTCACATTCACAGCACATCATGTATTAATGCAAATTAAGCTTTCTGAACCTTGAGCTACAAAGAATTATTTTTAGAAGGTTATAAACTCGTGAAGAAAAAAAGGGAATTTGGCATCATTGGCACTCTCAAAGATAAAAACTGGATTTCTTATGCCAATCTCAACCTGACCCCATTAGCAACTGCACAGCTTGTTTCCCTCCATGTGACCCTTCGTCTACCACAGCATACCTCTATCATTCTTTTCGGCTTCCCTAACAACCATGCTGGGTTTTTTGTGTCTTATTTTCATTTCTTGAATTTCTATTATACTCAAAAATAGTTCTGAATTTGATTCAACATTTTTAGGGCATTTAAAAAAATAACAATAATATCCCACAATACTAGACATAAAATTCTCTTTGCCTAGCATAGTTCAGATGCTACAGTAAAGGGTTCAAATGAGGTATGACATGAGAACTCTATGGCTATAATGAAAAGGTGATTTCCCAAGTGTCATCTCTCAGTTGAAGCCATTTAAAACTAGCTCAATATTTGAACAAGTTCTGCTTTTCTTTTTATTCATGGTTTAAACAGGCTATAATTTCAAGCCAATCACAAATGTGAACATTCTTAATTTGGAGTCTTTAGATTTTGGGTTAGGAGCATAAACTTGAGTTAGGATGGTAAGGGGAAAAATGATGGAAATGAGTTTTCAAATGTGTGTTGTCAGTGCTGATGCTTACAAAAGTCTCTTATCCATCACCCAGAAAACTTGCTATTGTAAGACAATATAATGGAGGCAGGACTCAAGAGCTGGATGGAATGATACAATTTTACATATTAGCAGACTTAAGCCTGAGCAGGAGAGTCGTCCCAGTGACTGAGTCACAGATGTAAAGTTGAGTTTTCCAAATTTTCTGACTTTATATATCATGACTTTTTAAACTACATGAATATTATCACCTTAACATTGTAAATGAATGTGACCTGCTCATATGGCCTCAGTTTCAAGATCTGAGTCAATTTCTTTTAACAGTTGCCTATTACTAGTGACATCCTTCAAAGAGAGAAACAGCTTTAATAAAGATATCTTCTAATCATCATGACTTTGAGGCATATTATCATCAAGATACTAAAATTCTTGACAACTTTTCAAAAATAATCCTAACTTATCTTTCTTCTTATCCATTGCCATATTTGATCCCAGCCTATGATAACCAGGTCAACAACTGTAATTCCACTTTCTGAGAGATTAGAGAGGGAAGAATGATTATACTACTTTAGAAAACTTAAAAAAGAAAACAGAAACAATGCATCTACCTGCCTATGATGGCCTATAGTTTCAGGAAATCTGATCTGACTGTATTTGCTATGCTCTGTGTACAATATGTTTGTTTTACCGTAACACATCTGTGTTTGTGGTAATTATGCCATCCACCCAGTTAAACATTGAAAAACAGGCCTTATAAAACTTCCAATCTACCTATGTGCAAGTGTCTTAGTCTGTTTGTGTTGCAATAACAAAATAACATAAAGGGGGTGAATTATAAACAACAAATTTATTTCTCATAGTTCTGGAGGCTGGGAAGTCCAAGAACAAGATATGAGCAAATTTGGTGTCTAGAGAAGGCCTGCTTTCTCATAGACAGCCTTTTCCAATGTACACAAGGTGGAAAGGACAAACCAGGCACTAATCCCATTCACAAGGGTTCTGCCCTTACAATCTAATCACCTCCCATAGGCCCCACCTCCAAATGCCATCACACCGGGGATTAGCTTTCAACATATGAATTTGTGGGGGGAAAGCAAACATTCAGAGACCATAGCATAAAGGATTAAGACTATTCTTTGTGATCTTCCATTTAAAAACTAAGTGATTTGCCTTGATTCAGAGACATTAAGTTTAGAAGTACTCATTAAAAGTGCCTTTTATATTACCTTAAGAGAAAAAGATTACAGTGACACAGTCTTAACAAGCTGTCTTCCTGTTTCTACCTTATCTCCTACTATATAGATATTCATCTTTAAACACAAAGGTATTTGATCAATCAAATAGCTGAAGTTAAGATAGTTATTAGGTATACTGCTTTCTTAGAACATATATTAAAAATGCACTAGATAAGCCAATGCTCCAGGGGAAGCCTGACCTTCAGATTCCTTCGAAATTTTATATTTGAATTAATGTTGATTGCAGATTCATCAAAATGGCAGAATTCTTTGTTCCTTTAATCTTTTTTTTTTTTTTTTTTTTTTTTTTGTTAACCTGATGAATTGACTTGTTTAAACTTTGGGAAGACATAGCCTGGGTTATGTGGAGTCTACAAAGATGATTTTATTTATAGCCAGAAGAGAAGTTAGTCATAATTGAGTTCAATTCTTATTTTAGAAATTTGGGGGTTTAGGTTCTGAAAGGGGAAAAGAAGCCATTTAATTTGTAAATGACAGGGCCAGGAACCAAACACAGATACGGAAAGCTGCATTTTCCAACAATGACAGGAACAGTATCTCCCATCCCATGTGCTCTTCTGCAACATGGCCCTGCCACTTCACACCAAGAGGTACTGTCTAATTCCTTTCTCCTTAACCATGGGCTGGCTTTGGTGACTCATTTGTAACAAAACACAGTGAAACTGATGCTATGTGTCTTCTAAGGCCAGGTTGGAAGAATCTGTGTCCACTTTTGCCATAATCTTTTGAAATGAACAGTCCTCAGAACCCAGATGTTAGAGGATCTAATGGGACCGTATGAATAAGATGTTAGTGTCTGGCTAGCCATTACCAATATTCGTTCTTGTAAGTGTTATCAAGAAGAGTGGAGATGGCACAGGATTGGACTTCTACAGAGGACTCCTACTCCTCATTCCTGAGCACTACATCTCTGTGGCTTGGTATACCCTGGGGGGAAAAGGCAATGCTATATTGACCATGATTAAATTTCTGCCACCCTACGAGAGGGGTATCACATTATAAATTCAGTTTCCCCAAATAGTTATGTTCTGGCACACTTAAGTTTTAAGATGATTGTATCCACTGTACTTTCTTCTGAATTGCAAATCACAAATGTTAACATATAAGAATGTTCCAGGCCAGTAATTCTTAACCTTGGATGATTCCCCTCTTGTACCCTGCCCCAGCAGAAATTAGTTAATATCCACAGGCATTTTTGGTTGTCTCAGTTTGTGGGGCGGATGCTACTGGCATCCAGAGGGTAGAGGCCAGTGATTTTGCTGAACATCCTACAATCTGCAGGGCAGCCTCTCACAACAAAGAATTATTCAGCCCAAAACCTCATGAGTGGCAGAGTTGAGAAACACCACTTTAACCTTAATCACCCAGTAGCTTTCTTTGGACATGAATTAGTATAGTATCTTAATCCCACAATCATGCATCATTTATTTCATATTGAAATTTATAAGTACAGTGTGTTCTACTTGCTACACAATAATACTAGCACTTCCCAAAATTGTTACAAGCTACAGGCAGGTAACTCCTGTCTCAGACTGAATTCGCCCTTGACAAATTCCAAATACTTGTTCATTATTCATCCTGCAAATAGCATGCACCTATTTTTCTACCAAAGATCTGGAGACTTTATGAAATCATAGAAGAAATTAACACATTCCAAGTTTTTGTACAATGCTTTATCTAAAACAGAGTTAAAGCAAAACTAAAAACAAATCCACCGGGACCAGTTGAACTGTGGTAGGAGGGGTCAGCATGATATGATTTCATTTACTTATGTAGAATCAAAGCACTTTGGGTTGGTGAATATTTATAATTAGCTGTTTGTTCTTACTCTATGTGCTTGTCACTGACTTCTTGAAATGCCTGACAGTTCATATTCACATGCACATAGTCTAAAAGCATTAAATGTACTTCCTGTCTGACCAGAAACAGAAAAGAATAGCCTCCCTCCTTGGAAAGTCTAAGAGAGGAACGTGTAGAGAGGAATAAATCGCTTGAGGATACTTCAGAGTACATCCAGAGGGAGGCTGCGGGAACCAGACTCATGTCATTGACAATGTCTACACACTATAAAGGATGAATTCCTCTGTATCAGTTTGGAATTATTGACAGGTCCTGTCAAGAAGTTTCCCGTTATCCCTGGGTGCGTAAACAAAAATCTTACATGTAAATGAGGGAGGGTGTCAACCAGCTCTTTTAGTGCGAAGACAGGATTCAATTTATTTATTCTATTTATTTAACAGTTATTTTAACAAGTTGTAAAGATAATATTCTTTCCCAATGAAAGATTCATTTCTTAAAAGTTCAAATTATTCCTCACACCTAGGAAACACTGTAGTAAGAAATTTGGAATGAACTAAGAAACAATGAATGTTAAATTCATGTGTTTAATGGATCTCAACCCATAAGCTTTTTAATTTCCTTCTGTGATTTCTGATATTACATAATATGGTCAGTATTAATGAGTATTTTTGAGGTGACATCACACCATTGTATATACAGTTTTTGCTATAGAACCTAAATTCTTCAGCATATTGTATATATAAGCCATCTTCATCTTATACACAGACACTCAAAGCCAGATTTTTCAGGACAGAAGAATGCAAAATGTGGAAATGTCCTGATTATAAGCACTTAAAATCTGTTTGTAGATAAAAAATGCTCTTTTCCTGACTGTGACATATGTAAGAAAAACAAAGATTTACAATTGGTTTTATTATTTATGGGCTCCATAAAGACAAATAGAAACAGAAGTATAGACAAAATTGGGGAAAAGTAACCAAAGTAGGTGAGGAGGTGAGCTTGTGAGGGCTTTTTTATGCATAATTATTCCTGCGATACTATCCCATTTCCGTTGGGGCCACACAGCCCTTATCATCAATTTTAGTGTTTCTAGTAGGGTCCATGCCACTCTGTAGGTCTAGGAATGGGTAGGTACAAGACTATTCCAGTCCTCTACTGCTGGATAGCAAACTGTCCTACCACTTAATAACTTACAACAATAACTATTTTCTTGCTCACAGGTGTGTAGATCAGGAATATGGGCAGAGCTCAGTGGGCCTGAACCATCTCTGCTCTATATGACATTGGCTACACTTATGCAGCTGCATACTGACACCTGGGTTCAACTGGAAGGTCAAAAATAGATTCCCATTCATGACTGGGGTCTGGGTGCTGGCAGTCATTCGGGAAAACTTCTCTCTCCTCCGTGAAGCTTTTATTTTCACAGTGACTCTCATCCGCCTGAGCCTCTCTCTACAGGTAGCCTGTCTTCACATAAATAGCTTGAATCCCTTACATGTGGTTCAAGGTAGAAAAAGAACTCAGGAACCTCCAAGACTCTCGAGGCCTGGGCCCAGACTGGCACAGCATGAACCCAGTGCATTCTTTATTATACTTTAAGTTCTGGGGTACATGTGCAGGACGTGCAGGTTTGTTACACAGGTATACACGTGCCATGGTGGTTTGCTGCACCTGTGAACCCGTCATCTACATTAGGTACTTCTCCTAGCACATTCTGTTGGTCCAAGCAATGCAAAAGACCAGCCATGTTTCAAGGGGAGAGGAAATAGACTCCATTTCCTGGTGGGAAGAGAGACAAAGGTATATTATTGTAAAAAAGGCATGCGAAACTGAAGAACATCTTTGGGGGACAAAAAAAGATACGCCACAAAATGGCCTAAGCCCATATAGGAACGAGGGAAAAAGTGTTCTGTTTCTGCCTGAGCTGATGAGAGAAATTTCGAGTTTCTGGCTCTGATCTGATTATGCAAGTAGAGAACTGGAGATGGAGGCAATTCAGAGTTGAGAGAGGGAGAAAGGAAGACCAAGTCCTGATGATGTTATTTAAACATCTCAATCCAAACATGCCTGAGGCTACTACTATCCCACACTTTCCAGTTTTGTGAATCGAAACATTCCCTTTTATGTTTAAGCCGGTTTTAGTTGTGTTCAAAACCAAACAAACCTGAGTGACACAGACCGGATGTGTTAGTACGGGGAGAAGAAACTAGTCTAGTCTCACCTTGAGCCTTGAAGCCTGGTGTGGGAGACCTTTCTGACTAGCACATGGTCCCTCCTAACTCCAGCTCTTCCTTCTCTGTCAGCACCACTTAACAAAGCTATCTTCATGCTGTAGGTTGTATTGTCTTTGATTATCCTATCCTAGAACGGGGTGTTTATTTTCCTCTAATGGCTGACTCTGATATTGTCAATGAGATGAGGGCAAAGGGTAGTTAAGGGTCCAAGTCAGAGGTCAGAGCCCAGGAAGGAGTACCAAGCAGGAGGGTACTCATGGCAGGATGACTGAAACAGGAAATGTAATCACAAAGTTAGAAGATGAGATGGTTAAGAATAGTTGGGAAAATAGAACAGATCAGGATGACAGTATAGTTTGAATTCGGTGAAACCAAGTACGTTTCTAGGTATCTATGTGATGGCAGTGAACATGGAATCTAGGGCCAAATGCGTCTTTCATGTGGGCCATTTCAGGGAGCCAAAAGTGGTTTCCAGGTTGACCTAAGGGCCTGAGACAGTTCTGAGATTCTTAAGCAAAGCTAAACACTGCGCTTCATGACAAAGTTTATCTTATACTTTGAGTAGACTCCAGATCTAATGGAACTATTTGATCATTTCTTCAAAGCAATGCTGTCTGCAACCACTGCCTAAGTCTCTGTTGATTCAAATCTACTGGGACTTGAGCAAAACCAATCAGGTTAGTAATTCTACAGTGGGTCCACGCCAGATGAAACAACTCACTGAGATTCCTCACATGCACATTCACCCTTTCTCCAGAGACACCAAGTAGGTTTCAACCTGAGAAATATATCAAGGAGATTCTTAAACAAACGCCAGCAGCTATTACTCATCAGAGCCCTAAGTACGGGGCCGAAACCATACTAAATACCTCATAATCTCTTGTTTGACCTATGGAGTTGGTCGTCTTATTTCCATCTTTCAGTTGTGCCTGCCGTATTGTTTATGTACAATAAAGCCAAACAATAATCAAATTATTTCATTTTATGAGCACCAATTTTGTATATCTCTCACTTTATTTGCATAGATTACTTTTCCCATTGAAATAAGATAAGGTGTCTCGTTTTTTCAGCCACGTAAAGGAAATAAAATGTAAATCACCTCAAACAACATTTAGGCACTAACTCATTAGAAAGTCAAAATATGTCAAACTATGAAAGCAATGATAGAGGACATTTTCCTTTCCAGACCTTTTGCATGTGTAATAAGACAGTAAAATTGAAATCAGTATATCATTCAGGTTTCTAACATCCAGAAGGAGGAGCTGACAGTCCTGGGGAACACAGAGCTTCTAGTACAGTTTCTGAACCTGGCTGATGATCTGAATGCATATGGAGCTTGTTAGAAATACTTATTCTGTTGTGCCACTCAGGACCTCCTGAATCAAAACATCTGGGGATAGCTTTTTAAACACTCCTCAGGTGACAAGCAGAATCATCTGCTTGTCAGCTAGATTTGTGAACCACTTTCTCTTTAGTAAGAAACAAACTGCTTTAAAAATCAAAGATTTCCTACTTATTAGTAACATTTTAGAACATTAATATCAGCTTGGGACATTTAACATATGCATTAATATGCTTTTGAAGTGCCTTTAATTTCCTGTTCAGTGTTTAGTGGGGTCAATGCAATCCAGAGATATGAAGACATTTATTTAATCTGTCCACATCTGAAATGAAGTGAAGCTTAATTACTATTTTCCCCACTGACATCGAATTTATACGTTGAATTAAAAGTTCTTGTCTCTATTTCTCATTGTGGGATTTCCAATCCAGTGCAGATGATGTCAGTACTGTCTGCCCTGTTAATAGCAGAATTCCTTTGTGACCTTTGCATGGAACAAATGACCTTCTCTCTCCCTAAACAAAAATTGTGTCTTTTTTTTTAGTGCCTGGATCAAGATTCAGAACCTGACAAACTCCATTATTAGTGATTATGCTATTAATTTAAATTCATACTTTGCCTTAGAAACACCAAACTCCTAGGTGTGGGGCTAGTCTTCTATGTGGATTATAAAGTCCACCAAGGACAGACCAGCTTCTTTGACACTGTTTCCATCCTTAAAGCAGTAATTGCCAGAGTAGGTATGAGAGAACAGCTGACGAGTACGTGAATGGATGGACAGATGAATGACCTGGATCTTAATGTTTAATTGGATTTTCAGTAGGCTGCTGAGATTTTCTGGTCTATCTAAGGCTAAGAAAGTAAGTGCACTTGACCTCATTGAGCTTTAGTTTCCTCATTGATAAAATGGAGACAGAAGAGGCAGACAAGATAATTCCTAATCTTAACTGAATTCCTAATTCCTAACTAAATATAGCTACAATTGGATGGAAAAGTCTGCCAACACTAGGCTTTACCATTAGCAAATTTTTAGACTTACATTGATTTTAAGGAGTCAGTGTCAGACATACATGGTCCACTCCCTCACCTCCTTCAGATTTTGTTCACACGTCACTTTCTCAGTGAGCTCTTCCTTGAATGCCCATTTAAAACTTGCAACATCTCCTCAACTTTCCCCTGATCTGCTTTGTAACTCCATAACACAATCCCCTCTGGTACTACATAATTTGCTCATTTATTTCATTGATTGCTCATTCCCTTTTACTAGAATGTAAGTTCCACAAAAACAGGGATTTCTGTCTGCTTTATTCACTTCCACAACCGTAGCCTCTAGTCTGCCACCTCACTGGCATTCGGTTGTTAATTGCTGAATGAAGAAATCAACAAATAGCAATGGAATAGACATAGGTTAACTTGATTCAATTTAAGAACATGAGCACAGCCACTGATATAAATGGGTAAGATGCATGCTGAGCACTGGGGGGAAGTAAAAAGAAAACCAAGGCTGGGCGCGGTGGCTCACGCCTGTAATCCCAACACTTTGGGAGGCCGAGGCGGGTGGATCACGAGGTCAAGAGATCAAGACCATCCTGGTCAACATGGTGAAACCCCGTCTCTACTAAAAATACAAAAAATTAGCTGGGCATGGTGGCGCGTGCCTGTAATCCTAGCTACTCAGGAGGCTGAGGCAGGAGAATTGCCTGAACCCAGGAGGCGGAGGTTGCGGTGAGCCGAGATCGCGCCATTGCACTCCAGCCTGGGTAACAAGAGTGAAACTCCGTCTCAAAAAAAAAAAAAAAAAAAAAAAAAAAAGAAAACCGAGCCTTGCCCTTGATGATCCCATTGAGACAAAGAAAATTCTGGAGGGCAGATATTGACAGAAAGATAATATTAAAAAGGCAGAATTACATAAATATAGAAAAGAGCCATGGCAATATTTTGTGAGCATTTAAAAGAAGGAGTGGTTAACCATGGCATGTGTATACCTATATAACAATCTTGCATGATCTGCACATGTACCCCAGAACTTTAAGTATAATAATTAAAAAATAAAAAAAAAAAGGAGTTGTTAATTCTGACTAAAGAAGGATGGGGAGGGTTCATGAAGGGTGTCACAGGAGTTAGCACTGGAAGGATTTGACTCTGAGCAAATCACAAAACCCTCCTAAGCATTACCTTGCTCTCTGAGAAGAATAGAATAGAGTTAAATCCCTCTCACAGGGGTACTGTGAGGGTTAAATGAGGTAATGGATGTGAAAGTGCCCACTTGGTTGCAACCAGATAGAAGATTCTCCAGTGTTAGTTGAGTGTGAGTCCTACAATAATCTGTGGCTCCCAAAACAAAGGTATCAAGTACAGTGGTGAACACAGATTTAAGCTGATGTAAATATTATGTTATATAACTAAAGTCTGTATGCAAAGTATAATATCACACTAGTCACATATTAGGATCAATGTAATAATCACTCAATTTTTTATTTTTAAATGCAGTTATAAAATTGACTATCATAGCAATTGTTTACATTCTGACTTAGTTTATTTAAGAATTCTTATCATTTGTGCTAGTTTAAACAGTACAAAGAAGGGAATTTTAAATTTAAGTTTTGAAAAGGCATGGACTCACTGTGAGGAAAGACATTTAAGATACAAAATCTCAAGGAGAAAGGGTGTAAAAGTAATCCGATATGTTTCTTAAGGTTTTCTTTACCTCCTCTGTCCTTCTGGCCTTGGTATAAAAAATGTTGGGGCCCCATATTACAAGAGAAAGAAAAGGGTAAGTTACACTAAGAAAAACGTTACCTGAACTAAGGTTATAATAAACAATCAGTCAAAGGGTCATGACCCAGCATTTGGGACTGGCAGAAGGTAAGGGGGGCTACTTGAATGAGACAGGCTGGCTTTTATAAAATAAGAAACAGCTTTGACGTCAGTGCTGTCCCTGAACTGAACTGCTTAAAGGTTCAAATTGGGTTCAGTTAAATTATCCCTTCCTTCCTGCTTGTCTCCCCTTCCACTGCTTCCCCTAACCCTGACACTGCAGTCAGTCCACTCTGACCTTTTGCAGACAGAATAAGGCAAATGAGCATATTTCCCATCCCCCTCTAAGCCTTCTGGAACAAGGCTGATCCCAAATCACACTCCAGAAAGGTGGAAACGGAGACATGGTGAGTAAAGGTCAGCTGTGGTGAGGTTGGAGTAGGAACTCCTTGCAGACTCAGGCGGTGGAATGTTTAAGAGTTCCAGGGTGTTGCCAGGAACACACACGGGAAAGCATGAATGAGGATTCCCTGTGACTATTACAAAGATACCTGCTTCTAAGGGAATGGCCTGAAACCAGAGGTCTTGGAACAGTTCTCTCAAGTTAGAGCTGCTTACTGGACTCCAGGATCTGAATTTTTATGCCGATCACAAATACCCATTTTATTTGCAAAGACCAGTGGACAGTAAAAGCAGAGATGTAAGGCCATGATTGCTTGAAGAGGAATTGTAGATGTGGTTAATTATTGGAATATTTCCAATGTAAAAAAATGCCGGGTAGGATTACTTTTAAAGAGGAAACTGCTCCATTAACTAAGTCACAAAATTATAGACCAAAGTACGTATGTGTCTTCTGTCAGCCATTCTACCCCTCATGCTCACACCCATGGCCTCTCAAGAGTCACAGAATTTGGGAAATACTAGTTTCTAGTTAGCCAAAAATGACCAGAATTAAGTGACTTGCTCAAGGACTCCAAGCAATTGTGACAAAGCCTAAATCTAGTCTTTACTGATTTAGAAGTGACAAAACAAATGAGAAAGGACCGATTTAGAAGGGGCCAGCGACTTCTTAACAGGTCACACTGCCTCTTCCGCAAATAGACTTCATTTCCTGGCTTTTAACTTTGAAGCAAACTCAGTATTACTAAAATATTAGATCTTGAAAGATTAAAAGAATAAAGAGGGATCACTGTTATTACTAGTAAAAGTTCCACATAATGAAAACCTGGAGATGAAAAATATCAGTGTGTAAAGCATACAAAGGAGGTGGCCATTGCTCACATGACCAAAATATTTGCCATTGGCTACATTAAATTGAGAATGTCCATATTAAATGTCTCAAGGGCCGGGCTGGTAATAAATGTGTGAATCAAGCGGGGTGAGGAAAGCTTCTGCAAATGGACTGACTTGGAACAAACTAAATATTTTGCTGACAAGGTCTTGAAAAACTAGAGAAAATAATGGTGATGATGAAGATTATTCTCTGTTTTAAGGGAAGTACCAAGGCAGCCAAGGAGAAAAGCTTACCGAGGTGAGCCCGATATTGTACACCAATTTCCCTGTCAAGGCATTCGAAGTGTCCTAAGCAGTACTCCTGGGGAGGCTGAAAGGATGAGGTAGCTACTCAGAGGCAGAACTTTCATCATCCTCACAAGACTGAACTGGCAGAGGCCAAGTTCCTGAAGGTGAGTAGGCAAACCAAATTTATGGTGATTTGAGTCAGAGCAGTGGTGATCCGTGAATAAGAGGAAATGGGTAAATAGGGAAGAAACAGACAGGCTTCTACTCTCCCACTAAAAACTTATAGGGAGTAGCAAGGCTTGCGGCAAACTGCTAAAATGTGCAAGGCCTGCCAAAAGGCACTCAAATTCGCACTTCCTGAAAACTAGGAATTGCCCAAATGAAACACTTATGCATCATTTATCAGCTTGTAAGCCAAGAAATCTGTAGAGATGACCTATTCCAAGAGCTACAAATACAAATATTTCTGTAAGAGGCTTCAAGATTCAACATTAGAATATAGAGCTTTTTATGTGCCAAAAAAAGCTGTGCTAAGACCTTACATATACCTTTTCTTATTTAAACATACTCACAACAACCTTGTGAGTTAGGCATACAATGATCATCACATATCAATGCTTATTTTCCATAATTTGTCTAAGGCCACCCTGTGAATATACAGCAGGGCATGGAATTAAACTCTGATCGCCGGATCCCAAGTCCAGACCTCTCTCCACTAAAAGACATCACCCTATCGCAAAATATCAGAGCTTTCAGTGTTGCAATTGAAAATGAACAGAATATAATTGAGCCCTAAATCAAGAAAATATGAGTTTTGAGAATATTTACTATTCAGAGGGTACTTGAGTCTTACTCAGCCAGTACTCATTAGAACTTTTTAAAGTTTTCTTTCTAGTTTCCCAAAAAATATATGCACTGCTTTCAGAAAATATGGTTTTTTTGTTTTGTTTTGTCTTTTTGTGGTGTTTTTAAGACAGAATCTCACTCTGTTGCTCAGGCTGGAGTGTAGGTGGTACAATCTTGGCTTAATGCAACCTCCACCTCCCGGGTTCAAGCGATTCTCCTGCCTCAGCTTCCCAAGTAGCTGGAATTTCAGGTACCGGCCACCATGCCTGGCTAATTTTTGTATTTTTAGTAGAGTCGGGGTTTTACTACGTTGCCTAGGCTGGTCTTGAACTCCTAACCTCAAGTGATCCACCCATTTTAGCCTTCCAAAGTGCTGGGATTACAGTGTGAGCCACCATGCTGGGCCATGAGTATGGTTTTGGTAGCTAGCATTGAGTTCTACGTTTAGAATAACATCCTTTATTAATTAGGTACTCCTCAATGATGTCCACTGACTTGGGCAAGATCAAAGGGCAAATGTTGCAATTTCCTTTGCTTTCCTGTTTATAGTAATCAGAAAATGCAGGCTCCATGGCCTTTTGCTTCCCTGCAAGTTTTCTTAAATATTTCTGCACTCACATACATCTTTTGGGTTTGGCAGATGCCAAAAGTCTGAAGCATAAATCAAACTCAGGATTGAACATCGCAGTTCTTTCTAGAATGTTTGCAATCCTTGCTTGCAAACTCATTCTTATTCAGAAGAACATCTGAATATCAAAAGGACTGAAAATCAAAACTACTACATAATACCATAGATTATTACAAAATATTACATTGGAGGTTATTTAGTTGCTGACCTTCCACTTTCATTATAAGGAGCTCTAGGACATAAAAAGTTTGGTGTTAAGAAAAGTTCTACTTAGTGAATTTATAAATCAAATAAGCACTTTAAACAGCAACACCCCAAACAGGACTCTAAGGTGTAATGTCTATTCCTGGAGTAACAGTGGTCTCAACTAGAGAAACAGAGTGGATTAAAAAAATCCATGTTCAAAATCTATTTTTTACCTAATTGCCTGAGATTTATAACAGCTTTTATAATAGACCTTCATTAAATCAGAACTAAACATTGAAGCCTTTATGATTACTTGTTTCTGTCTCACCATTTAAAAAATAGAAACAAAGTATTAAATTTACCTCAAAAAAAAAAAAGTTTCTAAAGTCTTGCGCAAACTAGTTTCCCCAGAAGGGAAATGCCAAAAAAGTACTTTAAATATTTTTAATCAATACCACAGCCATTCAATTACAGATGTGTGGTTTTCCTCATTTATTTGAAAGCCCAAAGTCACCATTTTATCCACTACCTATCTGTTAATTAAACAGGTATTTACCTCCTACTATAAGATGAATCATATTGCAATTTTTGTAGCTCAAACTACCAGTAAACAAACACACTAACAAGTATTGACAGAGTAGGAACAAAACAGAAAATGTTTTAATAAAGTTTGGTTGAGTTTAGAGAGACAGACAAACTCAAACATCAGTGCTTATACACGCTATGAATACAAACTAAGCAATGTAAAGGGAGGGAGAATAAGCTGGAGGGAGACTATTTCATAAGGTGCTCAGGAAAGGTCTTTCTGATAATATGATATTTGCATAAAGACCAAAAGAAAATGAAGGAGTGAGCCCTTTGGCTGTCTGGTGAAGTTAAAGGGAAGAGCAAGTGCAAAAGCCCTGAGGTGGGTTTGCCATTGGCCTCTTGTAGGAACAGTAAGCAAGCCAGTATCACTGGAATATATAACAAAGGACAAAAGGAGATGAAGTCAGAGAGGTAATAATGGGGCTACATAATATAGAATCTTCTAGGACTTTGACTCTTATGTTAAGTGAAATGGAAAGCCATTGAAGTTTTCAGCAGAAAAATGATACGATCCAATCTGCACATCAAAGGTTTCTCTGGCTGCTGAGTGGGGATGAGGCCCTGGGGAGTGTAGTCGCCAGCCTCCAAGATGGACTCCATTGATTCCTGCTTTGAGTAGTCATACTCTTTTTTTTTTTTTTTTTTTTTTTTTTTGAGATGGAGTTTTGCTCTTGTTGTCCAGGCTGGAGTGTAGTGCCACGATCTTGGCTCAC